GCCTGTAATCCCAGCTACTCAGGAGGCTGACACAGGAGAATTGCCTGAACCCGGGAGGCGGAGGTTGCGGTGAGCCGAGATCGCGCCATTGCACTCCAGCCTGGGTAACAAGAACGAAACTCCGTCTCAAAAAAAAAAATAAATAAAATAAAAAAATAAAAAGAAACAGGCAAAAACTCTTAGTCAAAAAGGTTGGCTAAAACAACAAAAACAGTTTAAAAAGAAATATGAAAAACCTACATGAGGAAAACCATAAACATTCCTGAAAGATACAAGTAGACCTGACAAATACAAAGACACTCCATGGTCTTGGGCAGCAAGACTGAACATCATAGAGATGTCACTTCTCCCTAAATTAATTATGAATATAATATAATCCCAACAAAAATACCAAAAAGCTTTTTAGGGGACTAACATTGATGCTCAGTTCATGTGGAAGACCATGTAAGGACAACCAAATAAAAATTATGAGGAGAATCTGACCTAGCAGATATTGAACATAATTACATAATTAAAACAAAATGGTACAGGCATAAAAGTAAATAGTCTTTGCTCATCAAAGCAAGTTAAAAGAAAAAAAAAAGTAGGCTGGGGACAGTAGCTCATGCCTATGATCCCAACACTTTGGGAGGTCAAGGCAGGAGGGCTGCTTGAGGCCAAGAGTTCAAGACCAGCTTGGACAACATTGTGAGACCTCGTCTCTATTAAAAATGTTGTTAAAACTAGCCAGACGTGGTGGCACACACCTGTAGATCTAACTACTCGGGAGGCTGGGGCAGAGAAAAGAATAAAGTAAATGTGGTAGAATGTTAACATTTTGGGAATCTGAAGAATTATGGCAATTATTTGTGTTATTTATGTAACTTTTCTGTAAATCTGAAATTTTAAGGTCAAACTATAAAAAAGAACTTTTAATTATAAAAAAAATTGGAGGCCAGGTATGGTGGCTCACTCCTGTAATCCCAGAACTTTGGGAGGTGGAGGCGGGCGGATCACGAGGTCAGGCGCTCCAGACCATCCTGGCTAACATGGTGAAACCCTGTCTCTACTAAAAATACCAAAAAATTAGCCAGACATGGTGGCACATGCCTGTAGTCCCAGCTCCTCGGGAGGCTGAGGCAGGAAAATCGCTTGAGCCCAGAAGACAGAGGTTGCAGTGAGCCGAGATCGCGCCACTGCATTCCAGCCTGGGTGACAGAGCGAGACTCTATCTCAAAAAAAAAAATTTTTAATGAAAAAAATAAATAAATTGGGGAGAATTAAAAGTGTTAGAAACAAACCCCACCCCCAAAAAAAACCCACAGCACACTCAAGTATATTGCCAAAGTAAAGCAAAAACTTCCTGAAAGAGGAATCCAAAGTGGTATAGCTGTATAAAATTTCCAGTTGTTTGCCTCTCCAAATCCTTTATTTTTGATATATATGTATGCATATATGTGTGTTGTGTGTGTATATATATATATGTATAAAACCATATTTCCTTTATCTTTTTCTCTTTTTCTCTCTCATATATAAATAGAATCCTGCTGAGTAGAAATAAGTGTAACCTTTTTTTAGTTCCTAACACCAAGAAGCCCTCAAATACCTTTGGTAGTCCCTGCGTCCAAGGCTACAGAACCCATATCTTTTCGAAGGCGTTCTAGTTGTTCTCTCTGATGTTGGCTTTCTGCATTTGCCTGTATATACAGAGAAAAATGTCATCATATTCAAAAAGGAGCCCCAAATTAGATACCAGACTTCTCAGTGGAGATGAAGAATTATACACATACAGAGGCTATATAAAAACTGATGCAGATAAGGGACATGTGATATAGCAACAGAAACACTAAGCAGCATAGACCTGGGCTACAGCAGAAGTTCAGACTGGAGGGCTCTACACACTGATTTAAAGGATTCAGAAACTGAACACAAAAACATTTCAAAAGAACCCTCAATTCCAAACTATTGAGTTGAGTCCAGGGTTGATCTGGAACATTTAAACGGGCTAGGGAAAATGCCTAGATAGAAAGCATTACTTTTTATTCATACCCAGGCTACAAAAAAAAAAAAAAAAAAAAAAAAAAAAAAAAGATACAATAAACTTTATTATATGGGGAAAAAACACAAAACCCTGAAGTAGACATAACAGGAAGGCTCAGAGACAAAGGACCCAATGAGCCTATGGAAGCAGGACACTTGATCATTTGGGATAAGAGAAGGCTGGGCATGGTGGCTCATGCTGTAATCCAGCACGACAGGAGGCCCAGAGGGGAGGATAACAGAAGCTCAGGAATTTGATACCAGCCTGGGCAACATAGCAAGACCTGTCTGTACAAAAAAATTTACAAAATAAAATTAGCCAAGGATGTGGTACACACATGCTGTCCTACCGACTCAGGTGGCTGAGATGGGAGGATCGCTTAAGCCCAGCAGGTTGAGGCTGCAGTGAGCCATGATCGTGCCATTGCACTCTAGCCTGGGCAACAGAGTGAGATCCTTTCTCAACAACAAAAAAAGGAGTTGTGAACCACCACTATATTCTTAAACAAAATTCTACAACTAGCTTTAAATTGACCTCTGAAAGGGAAGAAAAATTAAGGAGACTTATTTGTAAGATACATGAAACTTCATTAGCCAATTATACCCTCAATAAAGCCACAAAAGGTTTTTTAATTAAATAAAAAAACATTAATAACCAAAACAAAAGCACTTATGTCGTCAGGATTGAGCTGGGTTTTTTAATGTCCCTTTTAAAATATACAAATGGCTTCCCTTCTTACCAGTGATTTTTTCAGACGTTCATATTCAGGCCGATACTCCCTGCAAAGAGAAACACTTTCTCAATTCCATTGCTTAATCATCTATCCTAACCACTCCCCACTGCCCCTTATCTCCTCTATTTTCCTAGGATTCTGACAATAACAAAACATCAGATGTAACAAATCTTAGTTACTGACAGAGTCTACCTAATGGAATTAAAAGCCAAGGTGCTTGTTCCCACCTTGGAACCAGGGGATGCAATCCTGACTGCTGGGCTGGAAAGATTAATACTGGTGAGAACATAACGAAGGAGCTCATCATTCATTAGAGATAAAAGGCTGAGATAAGTAAAAGGTAAGCCTGTTGAGCTCAGGACATGGAACATACAATTATGTACTTTATATAACATAACAACAACGAAAGGAGACAGGAAAGAGTCTATGCTAAGGTTTTGATAACATCCTTATGTCTAATGAATCAAAATCAAAATAACATGTCTGAAAACCAAAACGTGGTTGTTAGGATCTTGCATAATATGAAGCCAAAGACACATGCTAATAAGCTGGCTATCATGCCACGGGCCTAAGGAAAGCATATAGGTGCTCTGAATCCACTTTCCTTTAGTTAAATGGAATTCCAGCATTAACAATGACAATAGTTATAACATTTATTATAAAATGTGCTTGCTATATGTTAGCAATTGTGATAGTCCTGTATACGTTTTCTCAATCATCACAACAACCTCTGTGACACATCCAGCCCACGGCCTGTTTTCATAAATAATGTTTTACTGTAACACCAGCCAAGCCCATTAATTTACAAACTGTCTAAAGACACTTTTGTCCTACACTGGCAGAAGTCAGCAGTTGAAACAGACTGTATGGTCCACAAAGCCTGAGATATCTATTTAGCTCTTTATAGAAAAGTCTGATGATCCCCGCTCTTAATCACTCAATACAGTGAAGATTTATACTTCTATTAAAAAAAAAAAGTTAAAGGGAACTTTTTACTTCTAAGTGTGGCCTGATTCAATACACATATGGAAGGCAAATATAATACATCCATCATGAAAACATAAAGCTCTTCCTGGAAAAACTGCTATCATATCAGAATTGTGACTTATTAAGAATGTCATCGATAGAATTTTCCTTTATCCTCACCTTTCATACTCTTCAGCAGCACTGGTGACTTGCACAAAGAGTTCATCTAATCCAGTACCCAGAACAGCAGAGACACCCACCACCTGCCAAAAAGCATCATAAATACCACTAAAGAAACCACTGTATATTTCTTTTTTTTTTTTTTTCTTTTTTTTAAACCGAGTTTCCCTCTTTTTTCCCAGGCTGGAGTGCAATGGCGCGACCTCGGCTCACTGCAACCTCCGCCTCCTGGGTTCAGGCAATTCTCCTGCCTCAGCCTCCTGAGTAGCTGGGACTACAGGCACGCGCCACCATGCCCAGCTAATTTTTTGTAGTTTTGGTAGAGACAGGGTTTCACCATGTTGACCAGGATGGTCTCCATCTCTTGACCTCGTGATCCACCCGCCTCGGCCTCCCAAAGTGCTGGGATTACAGGTGTGAGCCACCGCGCCTGGCCACTGTATATTTCTTAATGATGTATATTAACTTGTTCAAGTGTCAAAAAATCTTAATGAAAAGAGGTTTATACTTTGAGAAGTTTTTGGCAAAAAGCCAGGCTAAAAAGGAACAAAACAGCACACCTAGTCAAAAGTCATGGAAATAAGTCCGTGGGAAATAAAAAATTGGAAAAGAAAGATATGGGCTAAGTGCAGTGGCCCACACCTATACTCCCAGCACTTTGGGAGACTGAGGCAGGAGGATCCCTTGAGACTAGAAAGTCAAGGCTGCAGTGAGCTGTGATCATGTCACTGCACTCCAGCATGGGTAAAAAAGCAAGTTCCTCTCCAAAGGAAAAAAGAAAAATAAAGATATAATTAGAACTGAAAAATTAATAAGACTTATTATCTATTCCCTAACAAACCAACCAAATCACTTTCTATAATTTTTTGTCTATGCCTTTGCTTGGGCAATTAACTCGCTCGCTTTTGCTTACATAAATCTCACCCTTCTTCAAAGCATACCTCTAATGCTACAACCTCCAAAATCAGTCATTTTGATCTGCTGCCTCACAATCGTCAGGCCCACCTTCCAATCTTTCTTAAAGTACTTACTACAATATATCATATGTTTTAATTCTATGTGTAGCCTTCTCTCCCAAATAGACTATATACACTGAAGTTGGGGTCCCTATCTTATTCTTGTACACTCTACAATTTTTAATAAGCAATGATTTAAAAGTTATTTTTCAATAGGTAATAAGCTTCCTTTCTCAGCCAGGTTCAAAGCCAGTTCTGTGGGTTAACAGGTAATCTGGAGAGGCTGTCAGTGTGAGCAGGAGAGAAAATTTACCCTGAGCGAGCTATAAAACTCATCTAGCACCAGGCTCATTGAACGAGTCAGGTTGCTGACGTATGTAGTCTCTTGATTCAAGGCATCTTGGAAAGCCTCAAAATCCTGCATCCATTCCACTGCAAAGCTGTGGTCAATGATGTCAGTCTGTACCAGAGAGAAGTCAATTATGAGCAACCAGAGATAACAAAGGCAAAATTTATTATTTAAATTAAGTAGTGACAGCAAAGAGCATATCATCCATATTATTTTCTTTCTCTGCTTCTATTTCCCCTCCACTGCAACAAGCCACAAAGAACCACAATCGTTGTGTAGTCATTGTAATTAAATGAAGATGTGTATTCTCTTAGTTGACCCTCGACTATCCATTGCCAAGTAACCAGGGCCAGAATGGACACCAGCATATTCCAGACTCTGAAGTCAAAAGGTCTCTTACATCCTAGCCATCAACCAATAGGGAAGTTTTGTATTTTTTAATTGCCACCCCCAGTAAACTAGTTGTCCCTCTTGTAATTACAGTCTTGACTCTGAGGGATAATCTACACACTATGGTTGAGGGGCTACTCTACCTTACCTAAAATAGTTTTAGACAAGAGTTAGTAACAATTACTTATTCAATTTGATTGATTGATTTTCTCAAAGTGCCTGTGAATTTGTTTCAGTAAAGCCTGAATCTGGTCTCCAGCATCTGAAATAATCCTTCTCACCCACCTAAACCTTCTAACCACAAGGTTCTAATGAAAAATGGTGAATCACAACAGGAAGAATACACTTACTTTATTCATGACCACAATGAAAGGCAGCTTGGTTTTGTATAAGATGCTGAAAACCAAACATTGAGATGTTATTTAAAAAAGCACATAAGCTCTTGCTCATCCAGTGTCAGCACATTGGGACTAAGTAAGAGAAGGGGAATGAGTTCAGAATCTAAAAAGCAGTCATCTATTTTTTTTTTTTTTTTTTTTTTTTTGAGAGGGAGTCTCACTCTGCCACCAGGCTGGAGTGCAGTGGTGCAATCTTGGCTCACTGCGAACTCCGCCTCCTGGTTCAAGCAATTCTCCTGCCTCAGCCTCCTCAGTAGCTGGGACTACAGGCATACTCTACCACGCCCAGCTCATTTTTGTATTTTTAGTAGAGACAGGGTTTCACCACATTGGCCCAGATGGTCTCGATCTCTTGACCTCATGATCCACCCACCTCAGCCTCCCAAAGTGCTGGGATTACAGGTGTAGGCCACCACGCCCAGCCTATCCATTTTACGTAACACTCATATCGTCTCTCCTAACAGGAAAATAATCACCACCCAGAAACAACACACACACTCTCACTCTCATTTGAAGTAATAATGCCTTAGTATTGAACTTGTTGTTTTGTCTTTTACCAAATTGGTATTTTTCAGAGAAGAAAATGAATATTTATTGAATACCAATTGCAGGTTGAGAATTTCTTATCTGAGATACTTGGAACCAGAAGTGTTTTGGATTTCAGATTCTGGAATATTTGTAAATACTTATTGGTTAAGCATCCCAAATCTGAAAATCCAAAATCCTCCAATCAGCATTTCCTCTGAGTGTCATGTCAGTGTTCAAAAAGTCTCAGATTTTGAAGCATTTCAGATTTCAAATTTTTGGATATGGGATACTCAACCTGTATAATCTAGGTACTGTGCTAATAAGTACTTTTATATGTATTATCTCCTTTATGCTTTACAAATGACATGTAAATAGATACAATTTTTGTTTGTGAATTATACCTCAGTAAGGCTGGGAAAAGAACATTAAAATTTTTTCCAATCTGTAAAGTAGTATTTTTAAAATGTTTCTAACCCCAGCCTTACTGAGGTATACTTGACAAATAAAAATTGTATATATTTAAGGTGTATAACAGGATATTTTGACACACGGTTGACCCTTAAACAACATGGGTTTGAACTGCAAGGTTTACTTGTATGCAGCTTTTCTTCTACCTCTGCCAGCCGTGAAATAGCAAGACCAACCCATTCTCTTAGACTACTCAAAGTGATGATGAGAATGAAGAGTTTTATGATGATCTACTTCACTTAATGAATAGTTAATACATCTTCCCCTTATTTTCTCTAGATTAGTTTATTATACGAATATAGTATATAATATATATAATGTGTGTTAATCTACTGTTTATGTTACCAGCAAGGTTTCCAATCAGCAGTAGGCCTTTGGTAATTATGTTTTGGGGGAGTCAAAGTTATATTCGGGTCTTCCACACCGAAGGGGCTGGCTCCTCTAACCCCAAAATTGTCCAAGGGTCAACTGTATGTTTATATCATGAAATGATTACCAGCTGCGTGTGGTGGCTCACACCTGTAATCCCAGCACTTTGGGAGTCTAACCTGGGAGGACTGCCTGAGCCCAAGAGTTCAAAACTAGCCTAGGCAACATGGCAAGACCCCGACTCTAAAGTAATTAATTAATAAATAATTGCCGGGGCTGGTGGCTCAAGCCTGTAATCCTAGCACTTCGGGAGGCCGAGGCGGGTGGATCACGAGGTCAAGAGATCGAGACCATCCTGGTCAACATGGTGAAACCCCGTCTCTACTAAAAATGCAAAACATTAGCTGGGCATGGTGGCATGTGCCTGTAATCCCAGCTACTTAGGAGGTTGAGGCAGGAGAATTGCCTGAACCCAGGAGGCGGAGGTTGCAGTGAGCCGAGATCACACCATTGCACTCCAGCCTGGGTAACAAGAGTGAAACTCCATCTCAAAAAAAAAAAAATTTAATTCATTAATTATTTTTTGAAAGAAATGATTACCACTATCAGACAAATCAAATAACTGCCTTTTAAACAATTAATATGAAAATGGTCCAGGCACAGTGGCTCATGCCTGTAATCCCAGCACGTTGGGAGGCCAAGCAAGGTGGGCAGATCACCTGAGCTCAGGAGTTTGAGATCGGCTTGGTCAACACAGTGAAACCCCATCTCAATTAAAAATACAAAATTAACCAAGCATGGTGATGGGCGTCTGTAATCCCAGCTACTCAGGAGGCTGAGGCAGGAGAATTGCTTAAACTCAGGAGGTGGAAATTGCAGTAAGCTGAGATCATGCCACCGTACTCCAGCCTGGGCGACAGAGTGAGACTCCATCTCAAAAAGTATATAAATAAATAAATAAACAATATGAAAATAAAATAATGCTGTCGATATTCGGATTTCTATTTGGATCAAGATTTCTTGCATCCAACAAAAAGGCACATCCTTTGTCATATTAGAAGAGACAAATGTTGGTGACGGCTTTTGTGTACACTCAAAATTAAATTCCCTGAGCTTTAATAACTGTCTGCTTTGCTCCTCTGTCTTAATGCACTAATATAATCCAGTGAAGCATGCCCTTTCTCTGCTAATCGTGCTACATTTGGGGCAAACTTGTGCATTTTAATTTTTTGAGACAAGGTCTCACTCTGTTGCCCAAGCTGGAGTACAGTGACATAATCACAGCTCACTGTAGTCTGGCCTCCAGGCTCAAGTAATCCTCCCACCTCTGCCTCCCAGGTAGCTGGGACTACAGGCACACACCACCGTGCCTAGCTAATTTTTTGTATATTTGGTAGGGATGGGGGTTTGACCATGGTGCCCAGGCTGGTCCCAAATTCCTTGGCTTAGGCAATCCTCCCAGCACAGCCACCCCAAATGCCGAGATTATAGGCATGAGCCACCATGCCTGGCTACCTGTGCATTTTACAATTATGGATAAATTCTCTTATTCATGGCATCTCCTCATGTTACAATTTCACTCTACCAGCATCATTCAGGCCAGAGGACTCTATTCTTCTTTTTTTTTTTTTTTTTTTTTTTTGAGACAGGGTCTTATTGCCCTAAGCTGGAATGCAGTGGCACAATCATGGCTCACTACAGCCTCAACCACCTGAGCTCAAGCAATGCTCCCACCTCAACCTCCCAAGTAGCTGGGACTACAGGGGCATGCCACCAAGCTGGGCTAATTTTAATTTTTTGTAGAGACAGAGTCTTGTTGCCCAGCCCGTCTCAAACTCCCAAGCTCAAGTGATCATCCCGCCTTGGCCTCCCAAGCACTGGGATGACAGACCCAGTCCAGGGGACTCTATTCTATTTAGACTTGGATTTTATTCAACTGGGAACAACTATCAGACAGCTCGTATTCATACATCACCTATTTTTGTAACAGCAAGGGAGGACGATCAGACCGTACTGAGAGGGAACACCAACAGCACATGTGCCTCTTTTTTCCTCTGACCTTCCTCAGCTCATAGCCACTCAACTGAATAGCAAATATGAATGAGCACAAATCCAGGGATAAGCAACCAGATTCAAAAACAAAGAGGAAGAAGAAGAGAAAAAGGCCTTATACCTTGATGGAACACTGCCCACCAATAATCAATTACCTGCAGGCATAGAGCATGTTGGACATGAAAGTCACTGGGTTGGTACTTCTTGATGTGTCCATTACATAGATGACAACTGTTGGAAATGAGGATGCCTAAAGCCACAAAATAATCAAAGCCTTGGTCAGAGGGCTCACAACCTGTCCTCAAACTCTTTCCACCATCCTTAGCAAGGGAAAACCACTTTGGGCAGGGTGTGCAGAGCTTCTACAACTCCCTGCCACATAACATCCAAGGCAATTAAAAATAAATTCTCACCCAGTCTGGCCCCTCTAGCTACTCTCGGTAGCAAGTCCTGGAATACTCACAAGAGCCTCAGTGATAATTGTCCCAGAAGCTGACCAGGTGAATACCTCAATCTGTCCAGGTGTGTCAATCAACACATACCTATGTCAAGAAAGATCATTAAAAAAGTGTTACGTGTATTATGCTAAAGGATACTCCATCATATAAGATGAAAAACATCTGGTTATCCAGCACTGGAATAAGCTCTCCACACTGCCAAATCTAACTTCCTCCTATTGCCCCCAAACTACGCTTGATGATCCCCTACACTTTGTTCAATGTCCAATATTCATGCTAATGGGCAGGAACAGCAGACCATGAGTTGCTGTAAATGATCACGGGGGAAACTATTATAGTTACAGAAACACAATGCATTAAAAATGAAAGAAGCAAAAATAAGATGTAAATCTCTTGGGAAATATCTGGTTGCTTAGGGTGGGGTGAGTGCGGTGTGGAACACAGGAAGAAGAGTGGAAGGAATGGGATAGGGGAGTGCTAGCTGAAGAATATCAGGTTACTTCTTGAGATGATTAAAATATTCTAAAATTGACTGTGATGATTATTGTACAATCCTGTGAATATACTAAAAGCCACTGAATTATATACTTAAAACGGGTGAATTGTATGGTATGTGAATTATCTCAATAAAGCTATTTTTATGAAATGTACTGACTTTTTTGTGAATTAATTTGATATAATTACAAATTATATCAACATTTTTTTAATTGGCAAAGAATTTTAATAGACATTTCTACAAATATATACCAATGGCCAATAAGTACATTAAAAAGATGCTCAATACCATTAGTTATTAAGGAAATAAAAGTTAAAAACTATAATGAGATGACACTCTATACCCACTAGAATGGCTATAATCAAAAACAACAATAACAAATGTTGGCGAGGTTACGGAGGAACCAGATGTGGAGAAATCATATTGCAAATGGGAATGGAAAATGGGTAGCCACTAAGGGCTGAGAGGAACGGAAAATAAAGAGTAATTGTTAATGAGTATAGGGTTTCTTTTTAGGATGATGAAAATATTCTGAAGTTACATAGTAATGATCAACACATAACTCTGTGAACAGACTAAAACAACCATACACTTTCAATGAGTGAACTTTATGGTACGTGAATTATATCTTTTTTGTTTTGTTTTGTTTTGTTTTTTTGAGATGGAGTCTTGCCCTGTCGCCCACGCTGGAGTGCAATGGCGCAATCTCGGCTCACTGCAACCTCCGCCTCCTGGATTCAAGCAATTCTCTTGCCTCAGCCTCCCAAGTAGCTGGGGTTACAAGTGCGCGCCACCACACCCTGCTAATTTTTTGTATCTTTTTAGTAGAGACAGGGTTTCACCATGTTGGCCAGGCTGGTCTCAAACTCCTGACCTCAGGTGATCCACCCGCCTTAGCCTCCCAAAGTGCTGGAATTACAGGCGTGAGCCACCGCACCCAGCCGAATTATATCTTAATAAAGCTATTGTTTTAAGAAAACACCTCTAGGCCAGGATTGGTGGCTCACACCTATAATTCCAGCACTTTGGGAGGCTGAGGCAAGCAGATTGGCTGAGCCCACAAGTTTCAGACAAGACTAGGCAACACAGCAAAGCAACATCTCTACAAAAAATACAAAATAGCTGGGAATGGTGGTTCACACCTGTAATCCCAGCACTTTAGGAGGCTGAGGCGGGCAGATCACTTGAGGTTAGGAGTTTGAGACCAGCCTGGCCAACATGGTGAAACCCCATCTCTACTAAAAATACAAAAATTAGTTGGGCATGGTGGCAGGCACTGGTAATACCAGCCACTCGGGAGGCTGAAGCAGGAGGATCACTTGAACCTTGGAGGCGAAGGTTGCAGTGGGCCGAAATCATACCACCACACTCCAGCCTGGGCAATAGAGCAAGACTCTGTCCCCAAAATTAGATTTAGAAAAAAAATTAGCCAGGTGTGGTGGATCATACCTTTAGTCCTAGCTACTTGGGAGGCTAAGGTGGGAAGATCACCTGAACCAGGGAGGTGGAAGCTGCAGTGAGCTCAGATTGCTACACTTAACTCCAGCCTGGGCAACAGAGCAAGATCCTGTCTCAAAACAAACAAAACAAAAGCTACCTCCAGTACCCCATCTTTGTAAAAGTATGTTTACCCATTCATCCTTCTATCTATGTATATAGAATTGTGGAATGCTAGTCATTGAATAATGGCATTACTTCTAGTGGAAATCAGGGTGATGGTTTCATCTTATAAATATCATGTATGGTTTGAATTTTTATAAATTACTTTTTTTAAAAAAAGTGAACCCTGAACAACAGCTAACTGTGTTGGTAATGACCATAAGAATATTTCCTATTTTGATACTTTTTAAAGTAAAAAATTTTCTCTGAACCATGTGGACTATATTCATTTAAATAAGACTAGAAAGGTATTTCAGAGACTTTAATGGCAACAAGCATGGTTTCCCAAGAGAAGGCAGATGGACAACCGAATTTGGACAAAGTCTCAAAATACTTCCTAAGAAGCCATGTAAATTGTGGATCAAAGTAATTGTGGATGAAATGATATTAAATTTAGATCTATACTCTAAAGCATCATAATGATTTTCTTGCTGAACTTTTTTTTCACTCCTAATGGTTTCTCCTCAATCTATACCCTTTCAGAGGTTGATGGTATCCCAGATCCTCCATTAGGCCTAGAAATATGTCAACTACAGAGTAATAAATGGGTGTTAAACTGAAATCACTTACTTAGACACATTCTGGGCCTTCTCAATAAATTGCATCACCTAAAAGAAAAAGATGTAAATGACAATAAATTCCGATTTTAACACAAAATCACAGGACCCTCTCCAGGGTGGCATACCTCACAGGCACTATCATCTACTGAATCTCTCAATCACCTACTGAATGTTCGCAATCTTAGGACAACAAGGAATAAACAGGCTGAACTAAGGCAGCACAGCCACATCAGCAGCACTGCAATACCACCCTGGGGCACAACCCAAGGACCTGAGAGGCTGAAGACTTTGATCTGTCAATGTCAAGTTGTATCTCTTGTCAAAATGTTAACAGCCATGGACCGGATGTGGTGGCTCATGCTCGTAATCCCAGCACTTTGGGAGGCCGAGGCAAGTGGATCACGAGGTCAGGAAATACAGACCATCCTGGCTAACAGGGCAAAACCCCATCTCTATTAAAAATACAAAAAATTAGCCAGGCATGGTGACACCTGCCTGGAGGCCCAGCTACTCAGGAGGCTGAGGCAGGACAATCACTTGAACACAGGAGGTGGAAGTTGCAGTGAACCAAGATTGCACCACTATACTCCAGACTGGGCAACAGAGTGAGGCTCCATCTCAAAAACAAAGAAAATGTTAAGAGCCTGTGTCATGGCATGACATCAGAGTAAAAAAACCCAATGATTATAAAACACTCTTATGGAAGTAGGTGACAAAGAAAACCTAAAGAATGACAAACATTTATCACAAGTAAAATGCCCCATTATCTTTCCATTCCATGACTGCTAGTCCATCCCACTCCCAGATAGTCCCATCTCAGCTTCAGGGTAACGCACCACAGGCAAAGAACAGGTCAAGAAAATAACCCAGGTCTTTTGGATTTTTATTATCTATCACAAATATAAAATGTGAAGCGTCTGATAATACTGATCATCTTCTCACAGTCTACTTCTCTGTCTGACAAAATGCCTACTTATTTTCTATATTTATGGTCAGGTTTGCTACTCTTTTTTACCAATGTGATCAAGCTAAGGCATTTAAGAGTCACAGATTTTTACACAGCCATATTAGTATATTAAAGACAGGCATACCTGATCAAATCTGGTAGCAAAGAGATTGAGTGAGGTCACTATGCCGCCGTTGGGCCCAAGTCCATATCTAGACACCAAGTTGAGGACTGAAATTGCTTATATGTTAGTTTATAAAGTTCATACCTAGGGTATCACTCACACAAACGGCATTATGGAATTAGTGTTCCATTAATGGATGCTGGCAGCCTAATCCTTGACTACCACACAACCCTAACCACAGGGAAACATTCACTATCAAGGTCTGGCTCACTCATTTAAGATTTAGGAATGGCCAGGCAAAAAGAAGAAAGCAAAGTGGCCAAATAGTAATACAGGTGCATCAGAGAGTGACAGCCCACTAGCATTGGCCATTCCGGCCACCTATATAATACCTCCGGCCCTGATCCTCATAAATAAATCAAGATTATAATTAGTCTTCCTACTTAGACTTGCCTACAGAGAGAGTACACACTTCACACAGCAATTTACTAAGAATTAATCCAAACTAAACCCAGTCATTTCCGAGTTTCCCAGTCTAAAGAGGTGGTGACCAATAGATGATCCTCCAAGGCAATACTACCTTGTGGGACCCAGGTAGCTATCAATTATCATATCGTACTCTCTGCTCTTTAATTACAACTGCCTGCCATCTGGGGAGATGGTAAGAAAACTAAAATCTCAAGCTGAAATAGTATTTCTAATCCCCTACCTCTCCCACAGTCAGCTTCCATCCTTTTGCTTGTATATTTTACAAGGAAAAGGCAAAAACACTTTTTCAAAGCCACAAAATACACAGACAAGAAGCCAGGAAGGAGTCAACACCAAAGCAGATGTGGAAAAGGATACTGTTTCATGACTTCTTTATACTTCACAGTGTCACGAATATCTGAGGAGAAAAAGAATTAACTGGAATGTAATACATATACATTCCCTACTAGCAAGAAAGTAAAACAGGTTTCTAGCCTTCTGTTGTCACCATTCTCTTCTACCACCTTCTCCACTTTCAAACTGGTTTCCTTCCTTACAAAGAATAAATGCCAAGTAATTCATTAAGAATGTTAGGGCTAAAAAACGGAAAAAAAAAAAAAAAAAGAATGTTAGGGCTAGGAGCTCTAAAGTTATGGTAGAGAGTTTTGTCTCCACAAAGTGAAAAGTTTTATACAACTTAAACATGCCTAGAAAAACAGAGGCAAAAATCAAGGGGAAAAAAAATCTTCTTACTAATTGCCTACTACTGACAAGGGCAACACAAAAGCAATGCAGACATGACTTTTAAAAAAGAATTAGGCTGGGCACAGTGGCTCACACCTGTAATCCCAGCTCGCTGGGAGGCCAAGGCAGGAGGATCACTTGAGCCCAGGAGTTCAAGACAAGCCTGGGAAACATGAGAAGCCTTGTCTCTCCAAACAAAACAAAACTAGCCCAGCATGGTGGCAGGAGGCTGAGATGTGAGGATCGCTTGAGCCTGAGATGTTGAGGCTGCAGTGAGCTGTCAATCATGCCACTGCACTCCGGCTTGGGAGACAGAAACTCTGTCTAAAAAAAAAAAGAAAGACGCCTAAGATGTTTAGGAACTCAAGCAAATCCAAAGCACATGAAAGCAGATAGTTTAGAAAAAAAAGAAGGCACTGAAGACTGGCAGGCTTGAGTCTTTCCACTCTCTTTAAAGCACTTCACACAAGTTATGTTACCAGTTTACTCACCAATATTGGCAGGAAAGGGAACTTCATGTACTGCCGGATCCAGGTTGATCACATAAGGTGGAGTGCCTTGGGTATGCAGGTGTCCTGTGAGCCTCTGCAGAGATATGGGGAGACGGTTGGAAGAAGACAAAGAGGGGACAAGAGAGAACTTCCATTCCTTTACCACCCATGCCTTAAGAGTTTTGCACTTAGATTTTCTTCTACCTGAAATATCCACCCACTATGTCCACCTCTAAGATTCAGCTCCTAGTTCAAATGCTACCTTTCTTCATTACCTATCTAACAAAGCTTCCCCTACTCATAGTCACTTGTTTACTTGTTTTGATTTTTCGTATGTGGGTTTTCTCTGTCTCCTCCATTAAATATTTAATCCCATGAATAAATCTTGTCAACCTCATTTTCGCTATATCCCCAATGAACGGAATATGGCAGGCGTGCAAAAAATAATTCTATGGCAAATCTTCACCAAAAACCTGTGTGCTAGCACTGTATTAATCTCTAAAGTTACTTGCAAGCTCCTGCCTTCGAGAAACTGCCAATTTTATTAGCAAGACAATTCCTGTACAACGCGGTAATCTGGACCGAGTATGCACTGAAAGTGCCCAGAAGAAAGCCTTAATTAACCTGGCTAGGGCCCGAGGAGGCTTTGCCAGGGAAAGAACTAAAGTTGATGAGAAGTCTGCGAAAGCCACGCGCCGGTACCCTCCAACTCCTCGGAGACCTCCCTAGCTTTCTTCCTCGTTTTCCGCCTGCCGGAGGCAACCTTTCGCGCTACCCTACTACACCCACGCTGTGTACATTACCTGTACAAAGGTGGTTTTCCCGGATCCCGCCATTCCCAACACCAACAGACACACTGGGGGCCGCGGACCCCCAGAAGCCAGGGGCTCAGCTGCAGCTGCGGGCGCCGCCATCTTCCTCCTAGCCCCGCCTACCCGACCATAGAGACACTGCGTGGCTAGAGGAACTTCCGCGACGTTCTGGGCTGCGAATGAAGACAGAACCAAGGCGTCAGAAAGGAGCGGGCGAAGGGGCGCGGCGGTGTCCGGGGCATTTTCTTAGCGTCCGGGAGGGATAAGGGACCAACTAATGACAGAGGAGAGGAAGTGGTGTCGCTGAGCAAGCGACTGGAAGGCTGTAGGGAGCTAGGAAAAGGGCGCTGACCTCTATAGCCTAGGAAGGGCATACCCTTGTCCCCTGGAGGAGGGCGAGAAGCGATGGGGTCCCAAGGGCAGGGCTCACACAGCAGGAAAACGAGGAGAGTGCCTCTCACGTCGAACCAGCTAAGAGCGGGGGCCGGAACCACTGGAGGACCAACTGCTGGGGTTTATTCGGTAGCCAAGGAGGTTAAACCTTTGAGGGCTGGACCAGCCGGGACTGGAGCAGGGTGCGGCCTCCAGGGTTGCTGGGCAGCGCCTAGACCCTTTGAGCACTGCACGGATAAACCACGGGAACTTCCCGCACTTGCACATTGTTCCCGCGATTCGCAGGCACAGGTTCCTGATGCTAGCGTTCACTCCAAAGCAATCGCCCTCAGTGAACTACACAGTTGCCGTGACCTTGAGGATGAATGCTTGGATTCCAGGTACGAGCAGGTACTGGAGAGGAGCTTCCTCCTCGCGGAAGGGTTCTCACAAACTCAGGAAAGATGATGAAAGAGCCTAGAAAATTATTTCTACTCCCGACCTCCCAGCCTGTTTCTGTGGCCCTTTGTAGCTGCTAACAGCATTAAGTCATAAGTTTCATACACAGGCTCTGCCACTTGCTAGTGGTGTGAGTCATGGGCAAGTCACTTAAACTCAATCTGTTTTTTTCTTTTTAAAAACTGAGTTAATACCTTCCAGGGTTTTAGTGAACGCATGTTGCAAATGATGAGCGACATCCTTCATCCTTTACCACTAACTGTATTCCACACACCTTGCATAATGTACGGAACCATAATGGGTGCTCAGAAATCTTTTCTTGTATGAATAAAGGACAGTTGTGCGCTTATTTCCTAATTAAGAACTGAGAGAGGAATGTCTCATTTGTTCTTTCAGGTTTGCTAAAGGCCCCAGAAGGTCCTTTACACCATATCTTACTGTAATAAACAATCTTTTCAAGCAACAGAAGTTAACAAAGGTGGAGACACGCCTTAAAGAAAAGACAATGGCGGAAATGACCGATCTGAACAAGCGTATAAAACAAGCTCAAATCCAGCGGGACCAGCAGCTGGAAGACTGCAGGCGGATATACCATGAAAAGTTACTTGTCCAGGCTGAAAACAGATTATTTCTGGAATACCTGACTGACAAAACTGAGGAGTACAGAAAGCAACCCGAGAAGGTATGGAACAGCTATTTACAAAAAAATGAAGAAATTGAACGAAGAAGACAACAATCAGCCTCCAGATATGCAGAGCAAATGTCATTGCTTAAAACAGAACTCTTGCAAAAGGAAAAGATCCAATCCAGTTTGAAGCAGAAGTTGCAGGCAATGAGGGACATTGCTATGTTAAAGGAAAAGCAGGAGAAAGAAATACAAACATTACAGGAGGAGAAAAATAAAGTCCAAGCTGAGACAGAGGCAAAGAAACGGGAAGTACAGGCCCAGCTCCTCCAGGAGAAAAGATTACTGGAAAAACGACTGAGGGATACAGGCAAGAGGCTACTGGGAAAGAGAAAAAGAAGAGAGCTTAGTATGAAGGCCCGGGCCTTGGAGTTGACAGCAAAACAGTCTCTTTTTGAATACGCCTGTGGCATCAAAAGAGAGAACCAGCAGTCACGGAAGGAATTACTGCAGCTAACTGAGCAATCCCAGAAACTAATGGCTACTGAAAGCCACTTAAAAAACCGGAAGCAGCAGCTGCAGCAGGAACGGTGTTATGTGGAGAGCTTAATCAGGGTGAGGCAGAGACTGCAAGGAAAGCATAATCAGTGCCTAAACAGACAGGACGCTCCAAAGACCACACCCAGTCTTCCCCAAGCCACCAAATCAAAGATTAATCCAGAGTAATTCCTAAAATAACACTGATTAAATAAGAACTGGAGCGAGTACTCTTAAAGTGCTACATCAACCTGGTTAGGAAGGCTTTTGAATTCCAGATTGCTATTTTAAAAGCTCCATCATCATGTGTTAGTGTAAAGGATTAGATGCTTTTATCCAACAGTCCTTCTAGGTATCTGGTAACCAGCTTTCCTTAGCTAGCTTTTTCTTTAAATACTCTTGTTAATAAACAAGATATTCCACAAACCTCCAGTTAACCTAACACATGACCCTAAGGTAGCCATTTACCATACATCAAACCAGCTAATGGAAACCAACCTAAATGCAGTATCTTCGTGGCTAAAATTTTTAAAAAAAAGCAACCTAAGGAAGTGAAAACAGTTGTGATTTATCTAGCTAAATTAGGTTTATTTATAGAGATAGTACCTTTTAGGATAGCATTCCAAATATACTTTGAATAGCATTCTGCTCAGTAAATAACCAATATATTTATTCTCATTCCTTTAGACGGACTTAGCAGACAAAAGCAGTTCTTACAAACTCTTTGTACATTTGTGCCAGTGACCAGGTAGCTCCTTCTGTAGTTTTCTCATAAGTGAAAAAGTATTCTGGTAACAGCAAGTCCAGTAAGTGCTAGGCAGAGTGACTTTTCATCTGATGCTAAGCCCCTACAAGTTTAGCTTTAAGTAAATTGAGAAAGTAAGAGAAGATGAAGGAGACATATATTAAGTCAGCTCTTACAGGTGCACTTTCTAGTACATGAAGTATTTTTTATAATTAGTGTGTGCCATATGTTTATTCCCATTTAGTCAAACGATAAATTGTATTTTAAATCATATTTTCAGGATATATATATATATATTATATATGTAAAATTCTACGACATTGAAGTTGGACTAGTGATTTATTTGAATGCTGAATCCTAGTATAGGAATATAATCTCAATAACATTGGTCCTGTATGGGAAAATAGGATCAACTCTGTTCCCTAGAAATTGTGATGAGAAACTTCAAAATAATTTTCCTGAGTTTTCAGCTTGATTTACATGTAAAGTGAATTCACTTAAAATTGGATTTAAAAAGGATTCTCCTTCAATGTGCCTTTATCTTCGAGCTTTAACAACTTTTCTGTTAAATATGTAGTTTCTTTTTTATTAAACAATGTTATTAAATAAAAACATTTGTCCACTGGTTTTATTACTGTTCCAGTGATAAAACACATTTTCTACTTCATCACTTTTGTATTACCATTCTTGCATCTAATTCACACGTACAAATAACTAGTTTTAATGCAGCAATTAAGATTTTAGCATGCGGATACTTTAATATAAATCTCAATTTGTGAGCTGAAAATACAGAAAGACTGAACAAGGAAAGCATGGTATCCAAGACATACTTGAAGCCCTATTCTCTGGATGCAAAAACCCTAAGGCAATATATTTCCAAGGCTGATAAGAAGTTGGAAAGCAGGAAGGACATTAGTTCTTCTGTTAATTCCCCTCCTGCCACTGGTGTCCCAATTATCTAATTCAGGAGTGGGTAACTCCCACCTGATCTGTTTATTTTTACTTCTTATCATACCAGATAGTGGATGTGGCATACTGCTTGTGGCTGTCCCTTCCAGAGTGAGGGCTTGAAGACATTAAAAGCTGAATGATACCTGATTTCATACCTTGAAATCCATATCCCTAGGTGACCATTAAGTTGGCCAACTAAGATTTCAGTCTACATTTTGTCTGCTTTGCTACTTAGAAAATTATACAGGGTTATGTTACAGAAAGCAAGTTTAGATGGAAAAGACCTCTGAGGTAGAATTTAAGACCTGCTGTGAATGCTAAATGAAGCCTACAATGCAAAACTGGAGAAGAAACCATTCTAGGCAGAGGCAAAAGCAAATGCAGATGCATTAAGATGGCAATAAGCTTGGTAGTTTCAAGGATCAGAAAGGTATGTGTATAAAGCATAGCTGGAGAATGGTCAGGGAACATGGGTGGAAGAAAGGAAGGTGAGGCTATTAAGGCTAGCAGTTGTGAGCACAGAGGCCTAGGCCAAGGGCTTTTAGCAGGTGAATGAGGTCTGACTTACAATTTTTAAAACTACAGCTGTTATGTGGGGTATATCCAAGCCAGAAAAAAGTGGAAGGAAACCAATTAGGAAGATACTGTAGTCTAGGCAAGAGGTGATGATGGCTTAGATTGGAATAGCAGAAGTAGAGTGAACAGATTCAAAATGTAATTGATGGTAGACAGGACTTGCTAATGGATTTGCTATGAGAAAAGAGAAAGGAATCAAAATGAAGCTGGAGTAAATTTCAAAAATGTTCTCTTTTAAGGAGAAGATGTGCAGAATATATTTTTCTATGTTTTTTTGAGACAGGGTCTTGCTGTGTCACACAAGCTGGAGTGCAGTAGTGTAATCACAGCTCACTGCAGCCTCTCGACCTCCTGGGCCCAGGCAGTCCTCCCATGTCAGCCTTCTGAGTAGCTGGGACTACAGGTACACACCACAATGCCCAGCTAATTTTATTTTTTGGAGAGATGAGGTTTCACCACATTGTCCAGCTTGGTCTAGAACTCCTGGGCTCAAGCGATCCTTCAACCTCAACCTCCCAAAATGCTGGGAATACAGGCATGAGCCACCATGCCTGGCCCCAGACATGGAGACATATGCATGATAAAAGAAACCCTACTCAATTTTATAGGTTGTATAGTATTTTACTGTATGATTATATTGTAATTTATCCATTCTGATAACAGATAATTATTGTGTATTAGAGTAGGCTAACAAGAGACCCAAGAATGTACAATGTCTCAAAAGACATTTATTTCTTGCTCACTTAATAGTCTCAGATACATGTTCCTGATTGGCAAGTGGCTCTCCTTCAGGAGGTGATTAAGGGAGTCAACTGTCTTCATTTTGTGTTCTTCCATCTCCTAGAGCCCCATCATCATCTGCATTTAGCTGGAAGAAGGGTGAGGAAAGCTTGGACATACACCCACTCAAAAGTTCTAGCCTGCTAGTGGCATTCTCATTACTCCACTCACACTCCATAGGAAAGGAGTTAGCTGGCTTCTCCTTCACTACAGAGACTGGAGGGAAGGGGAACAACCGGGAAATACAGTCTAGCCATTTGTTCTATAATCCCATAACTTGCAAAGGTGAAGTTATGGGATTTCAGATCCCATAGATCTCCGATACATGTTTTCAGTGTTTCTCTATTGTATACTGTACTGCAATAATCATTCCTTTTTGTGTCTCTTGGTATGCCTGAACAAGAAGAGTTTCTCTGTATTTACCCAGGAGAGAAACTGCTAAGTCTTCAGGTACATAGCTTCAACTTTGCTAGATATTGCCAAATAACTTTTGAAGTGGTTGTATCAATTTGCATTTCACACCACGTATGAAAGTTCATAATACTGTCAGACTGTTTATGTTAGTCTAATGAATTAAAAAAAAAAAAAAACTTTAAAAGCCAATACTATGATTAGAATGTCTTATAGAGTCCTGCCAATCTCTGGTCTTGGCCAGGAAAAAGGAAAGGAATGCCTGCAAGGGGTCTCTGGATGAGACTGGCCAAGTTTCCTGTACTAATTCAGTTTAATCTCAAACTATTCATTTTAACCAGCATAGTTCAGGAACTAAATAACTACTGAGACAATTGCATGGAACTTATTTCAAACTCACCCCCATCTCTAGCCATCTTCTTACCCCCATACAATGTCAAGGAGTCATGCAGCAGGTCGGCGTCAAAGAACACTGGAAACATCTTTCTGAGAGTCATTTATTTCTTTTGTCATTGCCAAACATTACCCAGGTCTTACTCACCAGAAATTAACATAGCTTCTTCATTTCTCCTCCCTGATAACCCTCATCTTCTGAAAGGGCTTTAAGGGCACACTGCCAATGAAAATGCAGAGTGGATATACCATGGCCTTAACTTGTTTCAAAACTACCTATTCTGGCAGTATCCAATTTCAGGTTTCAATGCTCCCTTGTTTGAAAGTGGTCTTCACAAAAGCCCACATTTTAAAGCTATTTGGAGGAGCACACAGAGTTAAAGTGGTAATAGCCTTTCAGAATTTGAAAAGGTAGTATTTGTCTGTATCAGGGTTCATTTTGTATGTGGCACATGCCACAAAATAGGCAAGAATATATAAGACCAATATTTATGCAAAAGGGGGAAGAGAATCCAGAAACACGACAACAATGCTGCTCTAACCAATGTTCCAGAGAAAGCCACTCTCAAAGAGAAATAACCCATTAAACATTACCAGGTAGGTATGAGGTACAGAAAAAGAATTTTTCTTTCCAGCTCCAGATAAATATCTACATCTGGTGTCAAAGTCTCAGGATATAAAGAGGATAGAACGCCATATATAAAAGAGGACAGAGGACAATATTCTCAGAAAATTCAGACAGAGGTTGGCTAAGGGGATGGGTGAAAACTTAGTAGCGTGTAGACTAACAAGTGAGGTAAAGTCCAGGGAGAAGGAATGCGCACCTTGGTTTTCCCTTAGTGCCACTACCAGGAGCACTAGGAGACTGTCAAAATGTCAAGGACAATGTGATATTTCTCAATTCTTAAAACCAAAGCAAAAATAAGCTTCAGAGGGTGAAGGCCTCAGGCTTCACCTTCAGAATGGATGAGGCCTCAGGCTCCAGGAAAGTTGGAGCAGTATTTATTGCTGCTTTTACTTTTTCTTTCCAGTCATTTTAATGTTTGGGACACATTACTCCTAAGGCTGCTTTTCACGTCTGTGGGTCTAGTCACTGCTACTTGGCACAAACAAAGCATTTCCCATATAAATTACAGCATGGGGAAGTTCATCCTAAATCCATTTTCTTACTTTTTTACTTAAAACTATATTGAGAGGACAAATAGCCACCATAAAATTTGTTTCCCAAGGAGACAGGGTAATCTTATTATATGAATGACAACAGTTCTAGCTTCTAGACTTGTTATATCACAAATACAAAATGATAAATCAGTTATGGTTTTAAAAAATTAGTTTGGAATGATTTCACAAGCTAGATGATGGAGCAGCTACTAAATCCATGGAGCTTCCAAGAACATTCTATACCCCAGGAAGGAAAGGACAACCAAAGAGGTTTCTTAGTTTTGTACAGAACAAGAGGAGCCTATAGTTGGCCTTGAAAGGGAGCTCTTTGGGCAAGATCAGAAAAAAAACAAGAGGACTCCACGAGGAATAGCAGGAAAACCTACTAAAAGGGGAGGAGGGAATCAAAGTGTAAGAAGGGAGGACTGAAATTTACACAGGAGGAAGGAGCTGAGAAAGTCACAGCCTTACACAAACAGCTGAAAGAATCTTCACTCAGTCCTCCCAGCACAGGTCCCCGTGACAACATCACATCTGCTTTCCTAAGAGCGCTTTTACACTGACTGCCTATTTCCTTCCTCGTTTATGATTAGTCTTTGGGAGCTTTACTTTCTGGAACTGTGCTGGCACTGGCTCCTGCTCTGGTTCCTTACAGGAGGCTGACACTACCAGTTCCTCATTATTCCTCCTCTGATCCTTCCCTACTCTAAGACTCAGCTCTGTCTCGGGAAGCTCAATGCCAGGCTGCTGCCGCCTTCTTAGGCACCTTCTGCTCCTGTGCTGCTGCCTCCGCTTTTCTTCTTCTTGCTGCCGCTGCTTTATCTTCATCAGCTTTTCAAAGCTTTTGGTTGTTGTTGGGTTTACAACAAACCAATCCTAGAGAGGCAAAATAGAAACATCATCCAGTCGAAAATATAGTGAAGAACATAAAGAAAGGTGGAGGAAGAAAGGAAAAAAGGCATGATTAGGGCAGAACACAGTAAGAAGGAAACAGATATGGAACCATATCTCAGGATTCTATATTTTAAACTGGAGAAATCAATACAGAGCAGCTATTATAAGCACATATTTTATAAGGTATAATTCTAGGTACTTTAATAAATGATCTACAGAGTCTGTTTACTTAGCATTATCCCACTCTTGTAGCTCCTGCAGTATAAATCTCATCATGAGATATAACACACTGAGCCACAGGAGATTTTTATTTCATGATGGCATTGTAGCTAAGAGCATGAATTCTGCAGCCAGACCTCCTGAGTCCAAATCCCAGCTCTGTTTCTAAATATGTGACCATGGGCAAATTACTTAACATTTTTGAGACTCACTTTAAAAAATTAAGGGGTAGGGGACACGAAATCCAATTATAAAGTATTTTTGCCAAAAAAGAAAGAACTTCAATCTTATCAAGTGATCTGTTCAATCTTCTAAATCAATTTATAGGAAATAGCCAGGATAGGGAGTTGAGCCCAATCTCTCTACCCCACTGCAAGACACTCTGCAGTAGTCCCTGTACCTCAAAAACAAACAACAACAAAGGAAAGGAAAGGAAAGAGGAAAGGAAAGGAAAAAGGAAAGAAAGAGAAATAGCCAGGATACAGGAATACTACCACAGGATAAAATCAGCAAAATTCCAGAATATGGGTACATGCATGTGACAAGTGATCTGGTTTCTTCAATAAATGGCAAATTTGTAAAAAGGGAGAGAAAGCTTTTAGACTTGCATGGTACAATAAGATAGCTAGTAGCCATGTATGGTACATGATGTGTTTAAATGTGAGCAGAACAAATTTAAGATAGGCTTCCATGTAAAATATACACCAAATTTTAAAGACTTGGTATGGAAAAATGTAAAATATCTCAATAGTTGAGTTACATGTTAATAATTTTAGATATACTGGGCTTAATAAATTATTAACATTAATTTCACCTTTTTAAAATACTTGTTTAATGTGGCTACTAGAAAATTTTAAATTATATGTATGGCTCACAGTACATTTTTTTTGGATAATGCCACCCTAGACTAAAACAGACAAATGCAATATTTGGACTTTGTTCTAGATACTAATTTGAATAAATCAACTCTGAAAAAACATTATAAGACAATCAGGGAAAATTAATAACTAGATATATGTTAATGCTAAAATTCTTTTTTAGGTGTAATGTTTGTGGTCCTATGTTTTCAAAAGTCCTTATCTCTTAGAGATACATATTGAAAGAAGCAATTACAGCTGAAATTACATGTGGAATTTGCTTTAAAGTAAGGTTTTAAGGGAGGAGAAAAGTGAGGTTAGAAATGACACAAGGTTGGCCATACACTGATGATTGCTGAGGATGGCTGACAGCACACTGGGTTCATTATGCTATTTTCTCTATTTTCATGTGTTTGAAATTTTCTGTTAAAAAAAAGGAGTATAAGAAAATGTGGAGGTAGGAAGAAATAGGGTAAAGATGTTTTACCAATCACAAAATTCATAAATATAGGCATAAATCAACGAACAAATGCCTGGGCGCATGCCCCAAACCAAGTGAAATTTGTTGGTTCCAACTCTGTTGGTTCTAACTTTTTAGGAAGAAAATGGACAAACCAGTTAACTATATAAAGGCCAGATTTTGTCAGAAGATAATTGCCTTTTTTTTTTCTTTCTTTTAATGAAGTCTCACTCTGTCGCCCAGGCTGGAGTGCAGTGTCGCAATCTCAAGTCACTGCAACCTCCGTCTCCTGGGTTCAAGCAATTCCCCTGCCTCAGCCTCCCAAATAGCTGGGATTACAGGTGCCCACCACCACACCCAGCTAATTTTTGCATTTTTAGTAGAGACAGGGTTTCACCATGATGGCCAGGCTGGTCTCAAACTCCTGACCTCAGGTGATCCACCAGCCTCGGCCTCCCAAAGTGCTGGGATTACAGGTGTGAGCCACCGCAACCGGTCGATAATTTGTGAATACTTCCTGAAGCAAAAAAAGATATACTATTATTACTAAAAAGTTATGACTGCCTTCAGAAGACACGCCAGATTTTGGTTAGGGATTCCGAAAGCTTATGCCAGTAAAGCAACAGAAACCAAATTTTATGGAAGTAACTAAAGCCCACATTAAGTACTATCACATTTGAGAGCAGAGAATAATAAGTAAAGGTGCTCCCTTTATTTTCCCACATCAGGCAGCTGCAGTAAGATATTCCAAGAGAATGCACATTGTATTCCTAAGCTGTTGTAGTAAGAGTATTTAATTATATCATAAATGATTTATCTGTTCACCTGTATTACGTAAAAAACCTTTCCCAAGAGAAGATTCTTGACCTTCTGAACTTTAAAGCATTTGTATACACAATTTTTAAATTTACTATGAAAAATTACAAACCTTCAGAAAAGTTGTAATAGTTCAATGAACAACCAAATTTACCATTGTTAATCTCTTTCCTTCCTGTCTTCCTTCTTTATTTCCCTCCTTCTTTTGCTGAACCATGTGCAAGTTAGTTGCAGACATCATAATACTTCATGCCTAAACACTTCAGCATATATCTGCCTAAGAACAAGGGTATTCTGCATGACTACAACTATCACCTTTGGGAATGTTAACAATGACACAATACTATTATTCAATATAGTCAGTATTCAAATTTCCCCAACTGTCTCAAGAATGTCCTTTATAGTTGTTTAATGCAGTATTTTAAACGGCATTAAAAACAGGTTGCTGGAAGACATTAGAATGCTAGAAACCATGAACATATAGAGATCACTATGAAACAAGAATTTCAAACATGTAAATTTAACCTGATTCCCAAATGTTTGACTTAATTGGATTTAAAAGAATTACAAGAGTTCAGGCCGGGTAGTACGGTGGCTCATGCCTGTAATCCCAGCATTCTGAGAAGTCGAGGCAGGCAGATCACCTAAGGTCAGCAGTTCAAGACCAACCTGGGCAACATGGCAAAACAACGTCTCTACTAAAAATACAAAAATTAGCTGGGCATGGTGGCCAGTGCCTATAATCCCAGCTACTCGGGAGGCCGAGGCGGGGAGAATTGCATGAACCCAAGAGGTAGAGGTTGCAGTGAGCCAAGATCACATCACTGCCCTTCAGCCTAGGCAATAAAGCGAGACTCTGTCTCAAAAAAAAAAAAAAAGAAAGAAAAAGAAAAGTTCAAGGATGCTCAGGATCTCAATCTATTGCCTAGGCTGGAACACAGTAGCACAATCAGCTCACTGTAGCCTTAAACTCCTGGGTTCAAGTGATCCTCCCACCTTGGCCTCCCAAAGTACTGGGATTAGAGGCATGAGCCACCACACCCACCCCTCACAGTGACTTCAAATACTTTCACAGAAAAATACAATTATACATCTAATTTTAGAGAATATTTTAACTCTAATGTCTCTGGTAACCACTTTAGAGTTACTTTCCTTGACAGCCTTAGCCCATAACAACAGGGACAAATCTACCTTTCTTATGGCTTATATACAAGATCCAGAGGATTACAAAAACCTCACCTCAGCATGGACAGAGTTGATGTGATACTTGACACCACTTTCTGACACAAATTCTTTCTGACATAGAAGACATTTATACTTTCCAGCCACAAAGTTTCCCTATTTCCAAGACAGAAACAAAAAAGAATTATTGGTAAATTCAGAAACACATACCTGGGCTATGTATAGGGATTATTAGAGATGAAAAGAGGGAATTCTACTTCAGCAAGGATGAGAAGGAAAAAGATCCAATAGAGTAATACATTTAGGAAAACCAGCTTGGATGGATTATTACCAACATAAATCCATTCTAATGCAATTCTGTTCCAATCACCCACCCTACTTCAACACAACCTGACAGTCTCCTGCTTTTTCTTAGGTAGCATGCCGTATCTTCCTACCTTCCTATGCTCCTTTCACTTCACTTCCAGGTTGTCTTGGTTCCTCCCCCAAAATGATCAAATGCCCAAAATTCACCAGAGGCACCAATGTACAATTCTTCCCACTATGATCCACTGTTGCAAAAAGTGCCTTCCAGAATTAGAAGAGTACCATCCATAATACCTAGTTTAAGGACTCAGAAACTAGGATCAAGATGACAAACTCCTAATCATTACTGGACAGATCTGGTTTAGATGCCTACAATTCCCTTGTTGCCTTGAACTGAGACTTCTCTCCCCTCCTGAAGATTCAGGTTTCCATGGTTTTCATTTTGTGTGAGGAGATTGGAAAATGGCAGCAATTCCCATGGCTGGTAGGTTGTAGGACACCTGGGTCAACATGGAAAAGATTCAGTGAGGTGAATGGCTATTAGCCTGACACCCTATCCTACCTCCCATCCCCAGAGGCCACTATGATTCTGATGAGTTTAGAGGATCTTTACCAATCCAGATAAGCACATATAAGGTGATTCTATAAAGCCTTAGACCCACCCAAATAGGGTAGGCCCAGTGTAGGAGATGCTCAAATGAAAGGAGCTAAATCTCTTGGAATTCAGGGATAGGAACTCAGAACAAATACATTTTTCTCTAAATTCCTTTAAATTGATAATGACTTATGACTATGGTGATCTTTTCTAAGTCTTGGACATCCCTCTAACATCCCACCCAATACCAGATCAAGAATCTTTGAGATATAAAAAACTAAAGCAGCCTCTGAAGATAATGGTTAACAGGACAACTAGCTGTTCACCTAAACTGAATTCTCTTCCATGTCAGACTACTTTAGAGGACATGTTAAGATATTAAGTTTTAAAAGTTACAAACCAATGTACAAGAGCCCAGGTGAGCTTTAAGGCCAGATACACTACTGTAGACGGCCTCACAACCCTGAAAAAGAGAAGAAACAGTGTGAAGACTATGTCAAATAGCTCCCTTCTCTGAACAGTCTGGCCATTTACACTGACCAACTCTACATTTGAAGAAGGGAAACCAATAATTGGTGCCACAGACAAACAAAATAGAATATATTTGCAAACCACAAAAGCAGGAAGGAAAGTCAAGGAAAAGGAAAAGAAACAAGGTGAACAAGTTGTTTAGGAAAGATTAAGCCATTTCCTTCCCTCGATATTTTCTCAGACACTTAAGAGAAACACAGAAAATTATACAGTTAGGTTTTTTTTAAATCTGATTTAGTGCAAATGTGTTCCCACTTCTTTTATATTTACTCCTCTGCAAAGTACTGAATCTACTATAGCTGTTATAGTTTAAAGATGGCTCTCTCCTTCATCTTGACTCTAGAAAATATAAAAATAAAAATATTTTAAGAATGGTAAAAATAAAGATGGCTGCAAATTCTCTTCCACTCTTGCCATCAAGAAGTGGAGTCTATTTACCCTTCCGGTGAATCTGGGTTAGTCCCATGATTCCTTTGATCAATAAAACACCATGAAAGTGATGTTGTGCAAATTCTGAAGCCAGATTTTAAGAGAGCTACAGCCCTGCTTTCATGTTCTCAAAATACTCTCTGAAAAGTCAGTCACTGTGTACCCTGCTGGTAGCCCAACTAACTCTGCTAGAAAGAGAGGCCATATGGACAGCCAAGCTCCCAGATAAATGCAGCTGCACAGAAACCATCTTGAACATTCCAGACTCACTGAGCTTCCAGCTGAATGCACTCTCATGAGTGATCCTAGTTGATGCTACATATCACAGGAGAACTGCCCTGCTGAGCTGAATTATGAACAAATATAGTAATTGTTGTTTTAAGCCACCGAGGTCCAGGTGTTTTGTCATGAAGAAATAAATAACAGAAGCAAGAACAGATGCTTAATAAACATTTACTGAATAAATGAATGAGAAAGAACCACCTGGTTAGGACACTGAATACGATGATACTTCTTGATATCTGTCTTCCATTTATGTAGTACTTCCTGGCTGAAGGTAGGTAGCCCTGGGCGAGTATATTTTAACTACAAGACAAGACAATAAGAAACATTTTATTAGATGAATCCAACTCCCAACCAAAATATCCCAAAAGTTTCACACCCAACTCTTTAGGTTATGTAATTCTGAAATCTAGGTATATTTTTGTATGCAAAAAAACTGTAAAATGTAAGACCCTGTAAAGTACCTGAAACTGGTAAGTATAATGGTCTCTTGTTTAGTCTTAGAAAAGTTTGATTTTTAACAGAGGACAAGAGACTCAGATATAATATTTCATCTACAGTTTAAAAAGAAAAAAAAAGCTACAGAGCACTATATAGAGTTAAAATATGTGTTAAAAAAGAAAGATTCACAGGTTCTAATGATTAGGAAAGAAAAAATAAATTTAAAAAATGTTAAAAGAGAGAGAGGGATACAAAGACATATTCGTATACTCATTTATAGAAATAAATGTGGATGGGTAAAAGGTTAGAAGTGTATAAATCAAAATATTAACTGGTATTCTCTGGTAGAATTTTGAATCATTTTAGTATTTTTTCCTACTTATCTGCATTTCTAATTTTTCTTCAATTATAACATGCTAATTTTGGTATTTTTAAAATTCTAAAACAAAAAATTAAGGTTTAACATAAAACAGGGATGTGAGAGAAATCAGGGAACAGAATACATAATATTTGCCTAAACTTCAAAAGTAGAATTATTTCTAGCACTTCCATTTATACGCTTTGACGTGAGTTGATCTCTCCTTACAACTACAACTAGAGTTTCCAGAGAAGAGAAAGCAACCTGCACAGACAGTTCTTTCAAAGTCCACCAGGGGTAAATAGCTGTATTTCTGGGGAGTAAATAATCTTCCTGCTTTGACAATGGAAGTGTCTGAAAAGAAGCTGATTCTCTGTAACAAAACAATGCCCCAAGTCCATAAAGGTAATGGAGGAAGTAAGGAAGGTAGCCCAAAGAACCTCTAGGAAACATATAAAAGAATAGAGTACAGGCTGGGCGTGGTGGCTCATGCCTGTAATCCCAGCACTTTGGGAGGCCGAGGCGGGCAGATCACGAGGTCAAGAGATCGAGACAATCCTGGCCAACATGGTGAAACCCCATCTCTACTAAAAACACAAAACAATTAGCTGGCCATGGTGCTGCATGCCTATAGTCCCAGCTACTTAGGAAGCTGAGGCAGGAGAATTGCTTGAAACCGGAAAACAGAAGTTGCAGTGAGCCAGGATCGCACCACTGCACTCCAGCCTGGCCACAGAGTGAGACTCTGTCTCAAAAAAAAAAATAGAGTACAGAGTACTTTTATAGAGTACAGAGGTGGCTTTATTTATAAGCACTTAGTCTCCTCTGAAGCTGGTATAAATGGGCCTATCTAAAAATTTTTTATAGCTCCACAGTACATAGCTTATATAAATATAGTTATACATAAATATATTATATATGATATATCATATTTGCTATCATATTTATATAAACTATTACTATACAGTAATAAACTATCATAATTATGTAAATGAAGTACTATCCAGCTATAAAAAAAAGATGAAGATGATTTCTATGAACACATATGGAGCAATTTCCAGGATACACAGTTGACCCTTGAACAACACAAGTTTGAACTGTGCAGGTGCATTTGTGGTGGATTTTCTCAACCAAACAAGGATCAAAAATACTGTACTTTCAATACACAAAACCCATCTATACAGAAGCCCAACTTTTTATATGCACGAGTTTGGCAGGGCAGAACTTAAGAATGCACAAATTTGGGTATACAAGGGGTCCTGGAACCAATTCCCCACATGTACTGAGGAACAACTATATTATTAAGTGAAATAAAGCAGAGTACAAAAAAAAATCTGCAGTAAGAAAGAGGGGATAAGAAAATATACATGTAAAAATACAAAAAAAAAGAAGAAAAAAATATACATGTATCTGATGATCTGTCACATAAAAATACAGGAAGGAAAAACCAAAAATGAATGAATTTGGTTAACTTTGGGGGTAGGTGAAAACACATTAGAAAGAAAAGGGGAATGGAAATGGAATAATTGGGAGGAGGAGTAGTGACTCAGAATACATCTCTCTGCATAGGTCTGATTTAGAACCATGGTGGTTTCATATACTCCCAAAATAAATGAATAGTTACATTAAATAGGATGTAGGGGAAACCCAAAACTTAATAAACATAACACATGAACCTATTACAAATAAGTGACACAATGATGGAAGCAGGGAAGAAAAAACCAACCTCAGTAACTTTGGAAAATACTATTTTCACTACACGCTGTAAGGCTCAAGATGAAAATAAGTATACACAAATATAGAAAATTTGTGTAGTTATAGGGGAATGAGTTGGTAATTCTGGAATTATTTTATGTACTACTAGAATTGAGCAAATAAGTAAGTATACTGTGGATAATGAGAACCAGGTTTCTCACTGTTGGAGAAAGAAGTTACAAATAAGGAAAAAGAAAGGCTAGAAGGAAACTTGTGCAGTTGGATTGGAAATGAAGGTCTTATGGCTTTTAATATACATACAGACAGTCATAAAAATAAATATGAATGTGTATGTGTGCATGTATGACTATACATACATTTATAACCTAACTCTAACCACCAAGAAGGCACAGAAACAATGACACTCCAGTAGAAATGAACATAACTAGCACTAAAATGTTCATTTCTAAATATATTGTCTAATAAAAGGAACCAGGATTCCTTAGAGAAATGGTTGATTCCAGGGCTAGGGCAGGAAAAATGAAAGATAAGCCTATGGCCTGTCTTCTTGTGCCATAAAAATGTGCTAAAGAAATGAGAAGGGATGTCAAAAAGACACAGGAGCCTACTTGAAAGAGCTCTCAATTGCCAAATTGGGACACTTTGAACAGCAAAATAAATAATAATAGCATTGGATTATATCCCATGGAATAAAATAAATATCTATGAGTTTTTACTTACACAAATAAATAGAAGAAAGCAACAGATCTTTTCACAGTAGCATTCTAATCAATAACCATAGAAAAAATGATGGAAACTGAAAATCATTACATAAACATCGCAGACATAATTGCAGGCAAAAATCATCAATGGATGCTAATCTAAGTAGGCAAAAGTGTAAGAAACAGGATATGAGCATATTCCATCTCCCCACAAAATGTTCACTAATTAAAAGGGGGAAGATTGTAGTTTTGCCATGGAGATACTTAGAAAACACACCCCAAGCAACTGATTAAAGTTTTCATTGTCATTAAGAGACGTAGCAACATCATATACCTTTCGATATGATACATGGAGAAGGGCCAACATTACTTCAGTGGTATTCTTGCCAAACACATATAGAACTCTCAACCTAATCTTGAGAAAATATCATGTAAATCCATATTGGGAAATGTTCTACAAAACAATCAACCAATTCTCTTCAATAGCATCAAGAACACGAAAGACAAAGCCAGGGGAACTGTAACAGATTGGAAGAGACTAAGGAGACACAGAAATGAAATAAAATGTTGTATCCTGATAGTATCCTAAGGTATGGTTATGTAAGATGCTGGCATTAGGAGAAGCTGGGTGAAGAGCATTTGGAAACTCTGTGCTAATTCTGCAACTGTTCAGTAAGTCTAAAATTATTTCAAAATTAAGAGTTTTTTAAAAAGAATACACACTGCTTATATGCACATCAGGAAACAGTGGAAAGACGCACAAGAAGCTAGTAAGTATGGTTAATTTAACCATGGGGACAGGACAGAACAAGGACAGGGTGGCTAACTCAATGTTTATCATCATTTTGACTTTTTGAACCATTTGAAGAATATGTTATTTACTCAAAAAGATTAAATTTTTATATTTAAGAAAGAACAATGCCTTTTACCTATACACTGTCAAAAATATAAACTGGGTCATGCAGAGTGGCTCACGCCTGTAATCCTAGCACTTTGGAAGGCCAAGGCAGCCAGATTGCCCGAGCTCAGGAGTTTGAGATCAGCCTAGGCAAGATGGCAAAACCTCATCTCTACAAAAACAAAAAAAAAATTTCAAAAAATTAGCCAGGTGTGGTTGTATGCACCTGTAATCCCAGCTACTTGGGAGGCTGAGGCACAAGAATCACTTGAACCTGGGAGGCGGGGGATGCAGTGAGCAGAGGTGGCACCATCTCACTCCAGCCTGGGTGACAGAACAAGACTCTGTCTCAAAAACTCAATCAATCAATCAATCCATCAATCTATCTATCTATATCTCTAGTTGATTTTAGGAAAGCATCTGCTGGATGAGAATACCCAATTTTATCAACGAGTTAACAAATACTGATTGATTGATTAATTGATTGAGATGAAGTCTTGCTCTGTGGCCCAGGCTAGAGTGCAGTGGCATGATCTTGGCTCACTGCAACCTCCGCCTCCCAGGTTCAAATGATTCTCCTGCCTCAGCCTCCTCAGTAGCTGGAACTACAGGAGTGCACCACCACACCTAGCTAATTTTTCTTTTTTGAGACAAAGTTCCACTCTTATCGCCCAGGCTAGAGTGCAATGGCGCAATCTCAGCTCACTGCAACCTTTGCCTTCCAGGTTCAAGTGATTCTCCCACCTCAGTCTCCTGAGTAGCTGGGATTTCAGTTGCACTCCACCATGCCTGGCTAATGTTTGTATTTCCAGTAGAGATGGGTTTCATCATGTTGGCAAGGCTAGTCTTGAACTCCTGACCCTCAGGTGATCCTCGCACCTTGTCTTCCCAAAGTGGTGGCATTACAGGCGTGAGCCACCGTGCCCAGCCAGTTAACAAATATTTAAATTTCCTTATGACATCTATGCACAGTGAAACCTGACTGTAATATCATGAGATAAATATCACTATGCAAAACCCACATTTAAATTGGATTTAGATAGCCATGTACTTTAGCCTGTAGCAGGAAAAAAAATGTAGAAATAAGTCCAAAACAAGAAAGTATATCTGATATTCAAAAATACAATCCAATTCCTTGGACACCAAGAGCGTCCACCAGGTGGGCACGCCTATCACCTTGGGACTGATTTTTAAACCAAAAAAGATGTAAGTGTTAGAAACTAGAATATGATCTTATTTTCTTTCTTTTTTCTTTTTTCTTTTTTTTTTTTTTTAGTGGTTAGGGAATAGAGAGAGATGGAGTTCAGGAGGAGAAGACAGGCTTCCACACAGAATGTGGAAGGGGACTCCAGAGGGAAAATCCAGGAGAGAGAAAGATGGCTTCCACAAAGGGAGTATTTGTGGAAGGGGACCCAAACATGGAGACCCTCTTTTTTTTCTTTCTTTGAGATGGAGTCTCACTTTGTTGCCCAGGCTGAAGTGCAGTGGCATGGTCTTGGCTCACTACAACCTCCACCTTCTGGGTTGAAGCAATTCTCCTGCCTCAGCCTCCTGAGTAGCTGGGATTACAGGCACATGCCACCACTCCTGGCTAAGTTTTGTATTTTTAGTAGAGACAGGGTTTCATCATGTTGGTCAAGCTGGTCTCAAACTCCTGACCTCGTGATCAGCCTCCCAAAGTGCTGGGATTACAGGTGTGAGCCACCACACCCGGCCTGACATTATGTTCTTGTAAGACATAACATTCCTCTCACATAGGTCAGAGCCCTATGCCAAATGTGAACTTCTTGATACCCTGGAGAATAAGAGGCCCTTCCCAGCACTTTGGGAGGCCAAGGCAGGCAGATCACAAGGTCAAGAGATGGAGACCATCTTGGCCAACATGGTGAAACCCCGTCTCTACTAAAAATACAAAAATTAGCTGGGCATAGTGGCACGCGCCTGTAGTCTCAGCTACTCGGGAGGCTGAGGCAGGAGAATTGCCTGAACCTGGGAGGCGGAGGTTGCAGTGAGACGAGACCGCACCACTGCACTCCAGCCTGGCACCTGGCGATGGAGCAAGACTCAGAGGCCCTTCGCTCCTATCTTACTCCTTATTATGTATCCCTTCAACCTGTTCCCAAGACTATCCCATAGTCATATATCCCTGTCTCCTTTTGTTTAAATAATGCCCCTTCCTCTATGATCTATTCTAATAAGTCCAAGGGTTTCCAAACATGTTCTGCACCCCTCAGAAGGATGCTTGGGGCTATGTAGGGGAAAAACAAAAGTATCATGAAGAAAAAGGCCAAGTAGAGAAGGCTTTGGGCTCACTACTCACAGTCACTCAGAGCAAATCTGTTTTTAAGTTATTTTATATACTGGTGTTTTGCATAAGATTTTATTTTGAAAAAAGCGGGAGAGAGGAGTTCTGTTACTACAAAACAAACTGAAACCACTTATCTAAACTAAATAGAAACTACTATATATGAGCTAGCAAAACAAAACAAAAACACATTAAACAAAGATTAAACAAAAATCTAATCTGGGAATTCAGGTTCCCTCTGGAAGTAGTTCAGCATTAAGAAGGCTCTTTAATTCTGAACTACTTCTTTAAGAAACTTATGAAACAGACTGTCACTCTAGAACCTAACTGAATACAAACACTGAAACTAGATCAGATGTACTCTATATCCAAGGATAAATAAACAAAATACTTCGTATCACATACACACTCAAGTGCATTTACTTTTCTGTTTACAGAAGGCACAATATTAGAAATAATGGTTCCCAAATTGATACATGCTTCTGCCTTACCTTTCGATCATCAGGCACCAGGTCCTGAAGCACCTTCCTCTTGGGCCATTCCTTGGCCAGTTCAGCAGAGGCCAGCTCCTGCAGGTGGTATACAGCTATCTTGGCAGAACGTCTCTGAACTCGGCCCCCACTCTTTGACTCTAGGTTCATTTCCTTTAAGCACTCTGGCTGTCCTGACTCTGGAAAGAAGGAGATCTGCAAGAAAGAGACACAGCAAAACATAGGCCTGATAAGTGGCATCCATCAGAGCCAGTGATTAAAGGCTAAGCTTCCTGCTCTAAATATCAAAAGAGCTAGGTGTAGATTGTTAACCACTAGCATCAAGTTCCACCATATTAATGCATATTTTATGGGTAAAAAAGCTTCTCAGGGCCGGGTGTTGTAGCTCATTCCTGTAATCCCAGCACTTTGGGAGGGCAAGGCGGGTGGATCCCCTGAGGTCAGAAGTTCGAGACCAGCCTGGCCAACATGATGAAACACTGTCTCTACTAAAAATACAAAAATTAGCCAGGTGCAGTGGTGAGCACCTGTAATCCCACCTACTCGGGAGTCTGGGCAGGAGAATCGCTTGAAACCGGGAGGTAGAAGTTGCAGTGAGCCAAGATCGCACCACTGCACTCCAACCTGGGCAACAGAGTGAGACTCTGTCTCAAGAAAAGAAAAGAAAGAAAATCATACACTGAATTAAGCAAAGATTTCTTCGATGCAACAAAAGCATTATCCATAAACGAAAAAATATATAAATTGAACTATACCAAAATCTAAAACTCTGTTCTTCAAAAGACAATGTTAAAAAAGATAAAGAACTTATATCCAGAATGATAAAAAAAAAAACTCAGAATATATCCCTAACTTAATTAGACAACAAAATCCTTCCCCCAAAATGAACAAAGGATTTGAACAGAGACTTCATTAAAGACATACAAATTACCAATAAGCACATGCAAAGATGGTCAACAACATTAAGCATTGTTAGTCATTAGGGAAATGAAAATTTAAACCATAGTAAAATACTACTACATATCTATTAGAATGGATCAAAAAATAAAATTGACAATAATAAATGTAGACAAGGATGCAAAACAACTGGTGTTCTCATACTTTGCTGGTGGGAATGTAAAACGGCACAGCCACTTTGGGAAACAGTGCTGCACTTTCTATGAAGTTAAATATACATTAATCCATATGACCCAGAAATCTCATTCCTAAGTATTTACCCAAGGGAAATTAAAATTTATTTTCACATAAAAATCTTTTTTGCCGGTGCAGTGGCTCACACCTGTAAATCCCAGGATTTTGGGAGGCCGAGGCAGACAGATCACTTGAGGAGTTCAAGACCAGTCTGGCCAACATGGCAAACACCCATCTCTACTATAAATACAAAAATTAGCTGGGCGCGGTGGCACATGTCTGTAATCCCAGCTACTAGGAAGGCTGGGGTGGGAGGATGGCTTGAGCCCAGGAGGTGGAGGTTGCAGTGAGCCAAGGCAGCGCCACTGCACTCTAGCCTGGGTGAAACAGCAAGACCCTGTCTCAGAAAAACAAAACACAACCTTTTTGTTTTTCTGTTTTTGAGTCAGGGTCTTGCTCTGTCACCCAGGCTGGAGTGCAGTGGCACCATCTCGGCTTACTGCAACCTCTGCTAGACAGATGCCCATAAAAGTTCTAGCTACAGGGGAATGCCTTTAGTTTTAAAAATATAATAATGAGGCCAGGCACAGTGGCTCACGTCTATAATTCCAGCACTTTGGGAGGCCGAGGTGGGCAGATCACCTGAGATAGGGAGTTCAAGACCAGCCTAGACAACATGATAAAGCCCTGTCTCTACTAAAAATACAAAAATTAGCGTAGTGGCACATGCCTATAATTCCAACTACTCAGGAAGCTGAGGTGAGAGAATCACTTAAGCCTGGGAGGTGGAGGTTGCAATGAGCCAAGATTGAGCTACTGCACTCCAGCCTGGGTAACAGAGGGAGACTCTGTCAAATGAATGAATGAATGAATGAATGGGCACAGTGGCTCACGTCTATAATCCCAGCACTTTGAGAAGTCAAGGTAAGAGGAATGCTTGAGGCCAGGAGTTCAAGACTGGCCTGTGCTACATAATGAGAACCCTATCTCTATAAAAAATTAAAAACAAAAAAATTAGCTGGGCATGTGATACAAGCCTGTAGTCCTGGCTACTTAGGAGTCTGAGATAAGAAGATGGCTGAGCCCAAGAGTTCAAGGCTGTAGAGAGCTATGATCCCACCATGGCACTCCAGCCTTAGAGAGCAAGATCTTGTCTCTCAAAAAAATGTGTGTTTATGTATATATATATGTAATATATAAAAATATATAAGATATATAACATATAAATATAAAATACATAATAATGAGTTTACTTCTGCCTGGGCTATTCTTTGAATTTTGATTTCTCTAACCTAATAATGTTCAAAAGACAGAAATAACAAAAGGACAAAGAAGAGACAGCACAAGCATTCAGAGATTAAAAGAGGATACAAATGAGGAACAAAACACATATGGGAAGTTAGAAGGGGGTAAGGACTCACCACAAAATACATCCCCAACCAGGGTATAGAAAGGGATCAGTACTCACAGGCCCATGCTCTGACCTCAGGTGATACGCAAGTCCAGCCTTCGACCTATATGGTTTTCCACAGTGGTGACATTTCAGGGTCATCTTTTCCAGCTCTGCAGCCCCTTTGCCACATTTTCTGACATGGTAGAGATATCCCATGATGCTGGTGAAGCTACTGGAGCAACTCTGAACACAGGACAGAAGCCTAAACTATAATCTTACATCTTTGGACATGATCGCTAAATTTCTAAACAGCCATAAAGTACTCACCACCACAAAATACAAACAGGCCCTCTGATTTCGGTAGACTCTCTCCAACATCTCCTATCAGCACAACCCTTCCTTGTCTCTGGTCATCCTGCTATGACCAAGCATGATTTTGAATCAGCTTGGTCAGCCCTTGATAAACTATAACTGTGCATCTACTCTATGTCAGAGCTTCCTCCTTGGTCTGTGATCCAATCCCATCCCAATCAAATATCCAACAATATGTACCACAGTTCAGCACAGTGAGGGGTTACTGGGATCCTCTTCATCACATTAAAGAAAGGATGGTAAGGAAACCCCATCAAACAAAGGGAAAGGGGAGAAAAATAATTTTTTTTTTAATGAGGAAGAAAATAAAGAACTATTAATGAGTTCAAGAGCCCAAGATAGTACAGAACTAGGAGGTCTACAATGAGAAAGAGAAGAAATGGAAAAGAAGAACGAAAGACATTGACCTGAGAATTCAGGGAGAAGGAGTTGTGTCCATGGTCTCCTACCTCACGCATGCACCTGAGCTTTCCCAGTCTCTTAAGAACTGTTCGGAGCCGTTCCCTCTCACTTGGCTCATCTATTTCATCTCCGGCTTTCAAAATGGGCTAGAAATCAAGAGAAGTAAACAAGCAGATGATTCATAGAAAAGAGACACGGGGAAAAAATATCAGAGGAGAATCAAGGATTGGACTAGCAGCTGAGCTGGTGCTGAGGAAGCCCAAGTTATCTGACTCCTGGCTTTCTCCATCTTCTCCTGGACAAAGGAAGTGAATATAATGGAAATAAGAGTTCTGAGCCTCTACCTCCCAGAACATAAACCTTTAGACCTAACCTAAACACACAAATATTTATGGATCTACTGCAAAGGTTTCATTGTGCATGACTCTTACTCATACTCTTACAAAATCCAAGAGCTATCTGCACTGAGATATCTATATTCACGTAAGTAAAAGGCATCCAAGCTGGGCACGGTGGCTTATGCCTGTAATCCCAGCACTTTGGGAGGCTGAGGCAGATGGATCACCTGAGGTCAGGAGTTCAAGACCAGACTGGCCAACATGGTGAAACCCAGTCTCTACTAAAAATACAAAAACTGAGCTGGGCGTGGTGGCATGCACCTGTAGTCCCAGCTACTCGAGAGGCTGAGGCATGAGAATTGCTTGCACCTGGGAGGGTAGAGGTTGCAGTGATTGCGCCACTGCACTCCAGCCTGGGCGACAGAGTGAGACTCCATCTCAAACACACACACACACACACACACACACACACACACACACACACACACACACACACACACACACCCAAACACTCACAAAGGCAGAAGACACTCTTACCAAACTATTATGATTTGCCATGACGTGATACTTCATCCCTGCCAGTGAACGAAGTTGTTTCCCACAATGATGACAAGTAAACATTTCCTAGAAGGAAAAATACTGCTCAGTGCTAGGTTGTTCCACAGAGAGACAGAATGACACAAAGTCCTACTCAAATGCTTTTGTCTATGTCTCCTTTATTTCTCAAACTCAACAGTCAATAAACCTCAAAATCCCAGAAACCCAGTGTCATGTCCTTAAGGGCAAAATAAAAGCAATTCACTTTTAAAATAGTAAGAATTACCATTTACTGAATGCCAGTATTTGCCAAGTAATGGGTTAGACACTTGGCCACGTGTTACTTCTTTCTTATCCTCTCCTGGACTATATAAGGTTTTTATTATTTCGTATGTATTATATTTTCTCCATTTTACAAATGAAGCTGAGGTCCACACTTAAAAAGCTAAATGCCACACTAGTATATGGCTAAGAAAAGATTCAAACCTAACTGTCAGATCCAAAGCCTATGTTTCCTTTATTCCACAATGCTGCTTTTCATCCATTATAACCAGCACATCCAACACAGCAAAAGAGGTCTAAAGTTTGGATTTAAAATCGTAACAGTAACGAAATGCCAAAATATCTAACCTGCTTGCAGTTTTCCATGTGTTTCTTTAAACCCTCTATGGTCTTCCTCCCCACTGCCTGGCAGGTAGGGCAGGAGACACTGCCTTTATCAACGATTTCTAAGTACCACTGCTCCTCCAAACTGCCTACAAAGGAGAGAAAGAAACACTTTGTAATCTGCAGTATTCTCCAAAAACAAAAAGCATAATCCCACAATTTAGGAAAAGTATCATAAAATGGTTTTTCCTTTTCCTGGTAGACTGTAACAAAGAGACTCTTGCTGGGTATAACTTCTAATAGTAGTATTTTTCAGACAGTGTAGTTTCTGAAAACTCATACTCATTTCGCCATGATAAAAACCACCTGAGAACCACTCCAAAGACCAGTGGCTTAAAGAACTAGGCAGCAATATTTTTCATAGCAGGATATAATAATGGGATACTGAGAAATGTCACAGCCCATCTGCTGAGTGTTTCTATGTGCCTGAGACTATGCTAAATGTTTTTATCTATTTAATTTTCACAACAGTTCTGATTGCCTTTATCATCCCTATTCATAGGCAGGGAAACTGAGGCTAGAGGAAGGTAAATAAATGAAGGCAGGTCAGAAAGTTAATGAAGAGCCAAAACTTGAGCAAAGGTCTGTCTGACTCCAAACTTGGGCCCTTAGTAACTGCCTCCTTAAAGAAATGCTTCAGTACCTCATTTCTTCACAGACAACACCAACAACAAATCAGGGTGTGAGAACTACATCCCACAATGGTTCCAGAAGAAAACATACCTGCTGCATAAACTGGTGGTTCCTTCCGAATGCGACGAGCCTGGGATTTGGGATTGGGCTGAGTTTTAGGCCGTTGCTTCCTCCCTGACACAAGACAGAAACTTGAAGCCCAACATGTCACCTTTACTAATATCAAAATGTCTTCCCTCCCCTTCTCTTCAACACCCTATTTCCCAGTCCCTCAACAGACTGACTGCCTAAGTCATGACAGAATGAAAGGGTATAAGGCGGCAGGATGGAGACCATTCCCTCTTAAACAATTCAAAGGGCTCAGAGGTCACTAAAGGGCTCAAACTAAGGTCTCTTTTTCTTTTACCCTCAAAGAATAAAGCCCAGTCACCCAAGGAAAAAGAAGTAGCAAAGTTACTGCCTTACCATAAAGCTTATGCTTCTTCTGAGGAAATTCTCGATAGTCTTCATCTTCTTCCTGCCTGGGTTTCCTTTTTCCCTTGGTTGATACTCCACCTGACCCTGAAATACCATACAAAAACAAAACAAAAGCTCAGCACACTTTGTAAATGAACAGCTAGGCCTGCCTTCAAAACATCATTCACGAGACCATCAAAGGGAAAAAGCATCAGTGAACACAGGCCTCAGGAAATATCTGTGAGATTTTTAGGGAAGCTGGTGTAACTTCTCATTAACTGACCCAACCTCCCTCTTTCTTTTTACCTTGTTATCTATCCCAAACCATCCATTGTTCCTTATAAACAGTAAGGGCCTTCAGGCAATGTGTTTTGCTTAATCTTGATTTGAGACTAAAAAGGAGCACAAGAATTGCTCAAGATAGAGGGCTAGCTATCCAAGGACCCTTGAGACTGTGACCATCTAGAATATTCTCCCCTAAATAACCCTTACACTAGCCCCTAAATCATCAACAGAAGTTCAAACTAGAAGAAAAGAGGAAAAGAAGTTCAAATCCTACAAAGAGGAAAATCAAATGCTAAGTATAACCTAGCAGAATTTTATTCTATCAGACAATTCATGAAGCTAACAGGGTCCAATAGCCTAACACCTTAAATTTTTTAAAATCACTAATGAGAAACAAATATCTGGCATTTGATACCCTTAACAGGTATTTACAATAATCTCACACTATAACTTTAGGGAGTGTTCCGTCTCTGGAATAAGAAGACACTGATATTGATACCTTCAACATGAGAAGTAGCAGCTGGCTTGATCCTTCTCATCTTCATCCAGTAGGTAGATTTTCGAAAAGATGCTGGAAAATCACTCACTGGTTCACACGAAGAGGCAGATGATGAACCACTTAAGGAGTCATCATGAGGAATAGTGTACTGGAAACTATTATCCTTTATGGAGCAGTGGGTCCTTCTACTAATACAACATAAAAATATACACCACAAAGGAAGGTCTGTAGCAAAATTTCTATACATTCTTTTATATTATAACCAGGTTGGTTACCTGTGCAGAAAACTAAGAAGCCTGCTTTTATAAAAACAGAATGTGTAAGTTGTAATCACCTAACAATAGCAATAGCTGATCTAATACAACATGTGCAATTATTATCACTCTTCACTGTAATCAGCAAGAGTAAGGAGTACACATAAATGATCACTTTGCAGTCCAAGTAGACATTCCTTCCTAGATTCATCTAAGAAAAGAAAGTAGCCAAAGCAATAAGGTTGTTCTGTGACCCTTCAGAAGACTTCCTGGATTTGTAACCTCGTCTGACCCAGCCGCTCTATTTCTCTGACAGAGGCACGGTAACTCAAGGGTATCTCTAAGGGAAAGGAATATTTGTAGGGCCTAATCTGACCCATCTTTCTTCTCCCTCAGCATTCTCCCTAAACCCTGATGCCCCATCTTATTTAGGCAACATGATACTTAGCTTCTACAGCTAAAGGAGGGATGCTATCTTGTATGAATTAATCTGGCCAGAGAATTCTGGTATACGGCTGAATCCAGAGTCCAAAATTTAAGACCAGTCAGTATGACAATTAACAAACATGACTGTGTAACTACAAAGCATCAGACACTCTTGTAGATGGCTCAAGATACAGTAGAGCAGCAATTCTCCAAGAGTGGTCTAAGGACTCCTAGAACCTCCCTTTTCCAGCTTAATACCTGTGAGGCCTACTTTAGATGTACAGTTCAGAAAGATCCTTCTGGCTGCTGTATGGAGACAGCCCATGGGAGAAAAAGTAAACAAAAGGAAAAAAAGTTAACTTGAATTGGAAGATTCACAATAACACTTTAGATATAGAGCTAATAAAAATTACACATAGAGCGGTGGCTCATGCCTGTAATCCCAGCACTTTGGGAGGCCAAGGCGGGTGGATCACCTGAGGCCAGGAGTTTGAGACCAGCCTGGCCAACATGCTGAAACCCCATCTCTACTAAAAATAAAAAAAATTAGCTGGGCGTGGTGGTGCATGCCTGTAATTCCAGCTACTGGGGAGGCTGAGATAGGAGAATTGCTTGAACCCAGGAAGCAGAGGTTGCAGTGAGTTGAGATCGCACCGTTGCACTCCAGCCTGGGCAACAAGAGTGAAACTCCATCTCAAAAAAAAAAAAAAAAAAAAAAAAAAAAAAAAAAAAAAAAAACTCCATCTCAAAAAAAAAAAAAAAAAAAAAAGAATTACACATACAGAGGTTTGTCTGTGACCACCCTTGTAAAATGTGATAGATGCCTGCTATGGAATACTATGTTGCTATTAGAAGCAATAAACCAATTCTATACATAGAGACACGAACATAACTAAAAAGCATACTATTGAAGGAAAAAAGAAACAAAACAACATCTCTAGCACAATGTCAGTTCAGCAAGCTAAAAACAAATCCTCACATAAACACAGTTTATTTTTAAAGGAGTCATAAATATTTAAGGACAAACATCACACTTGTTTATACAGTTTCCTCTAGGAGGGAAGGGATGGAAATGGGGATAAGTAAACATAACAGAGACTGATTATGTCAGTAGGCTACAAACAGAGAAGGATGAGTTTCGGCTCTCTGCACATGAGGTCCAATAGCACAGATTTAATACACAGAAGTCCTGGCTCTGGTGGGGCAGCTAACCCCACTAAGCCCCACCCCTCCTGCTGATTGGACTCTGTAAAGCAAACAAAAACAAGTAAATTACACAGGGACGTCAAAGCTGGGAGAAGTGACCCAAATGGGGTGAGTTTTCCAGTTCTGTCTTTTTCTCTCATGTGTGAGCAGCTTTAATTCTAGAAACTCCCTTCTTTCTGTCCAAGCAAATCAGGAAAAAAGGTTCCTGTAGACCAGAGTTGGGGAATGGGGAAGGGGGAAAGCTGGAGAGAAAGGCAAAAAACAAGAATCCCTTAAATCAGTGTATGAATCCACACAGGTCACAAGTTGACCTTAGTCATGAACGTGTGGCATGTACCCATACATACCAGCCTAGCAAAGACTTTGAAAACCAAAATGAGATTTGAACGCTAATGTGACCCAAACCAAAGCAGCAAAAGCTTGGAGAACTGAAATAAGATTGGAAACACCTGCAGAAGTCTCAGACCAGCCCCTGGGCTATTCATGTATGGGACAGCCCAAATCATCATAGCAAAGACCTAAAGGACAGAACTGAGATTTTAACCAATGCCTCCAAAAAGCAAGATAGAAATTTTGGCCTGAACCTAAAGCAGGGTCGCCTGCTAAAACAGAAACGGCAACATTCCCCAGAAGAATTATAATAGATCCCAAAATCTACACAAAAAATATTCACAATGTTGAGGATAAATTCCAAAATTACACAACACATAAAGAACCAGGAAAATGTAAGCAATTTTCCTTTTTCCTTTTTTTTTTTTTTTTTTTTTTTTTTTTTTGTTTTTTTTTTTTTTTTTTTTTTTTTTTTTTTTTGAGATGGAGTCTTGCTCTGTTGCCCATGCTAGACTGCAGTGGCACAATCTTGGCTCACTGCAACCTCCACCTCCCAGGTTCAAGCTATTCTCCTGCCTCAGCCTCCCAAGTAGCTGAGATTACAGGCATGTGCCACCATGACTGGCTAATTTCTTTGTATTTTTAGTAGAGATGGGGTTTCACCATGTTCGCCAGTTCTGGTCTTGAACTCCTGACCTCAGGTGATCCACCCACCTTGGCCTTCCAAAGTGCTGGGATTACAGGCAGAAGCCACCGTGCTCAGCCAATGTGAGCAATTTTCAAAGGAAGAGATGATCAAAACATGCCAACCCCAAGGTAATCCAGATGTTGGAACTATCAATACTTTCAGTAAAAAGTATTTCCTTATAAATTTCTTTCTTATAAAAGAAAGCACACAAGAAATGAAAGGTAGGAATCATCTGCAGAAAAAGAAACCATAAAAAAGAACCAAATGAAATCTTAGAACTGAAAAATACAATGTCTGAAATAAAAACTCATTGGATGGGTTCAGTAATGGAACCTCTGTCCAGAGGAAAGAGTCTGTGAACTTGAAGATCAATCAACAGAAATGACCCAGTCTGAAGAATAAAGAGAAAAAAAGATTGAAAAACAGTCAACAGAGCCCCCATACCAAAAGTTCTAACCTAAGTGTAGTTGTAATCCCAGAGGGAGAGGAGAAAGATACTAAGGCAGAAAAATACATTTGAAAAAAAAAATGGTGGAAAATCCCCCACACTTGGTCAAAGGTATAAATTTACAGATTCAAGGAGCTCAACAAACACCAAATAGGATAACTCAAAGAAAAATATACCAAGACACATCTTTTTGTTTGGTTTTGAAACAGAGTCTTGTTCTGTTGCCCAGTCCAGAGTACAGTGGCACATGGCTCACTGCAGCTTGAATCTCTCTGGCTCAAGTGACCCTCCCACCTCACCATACCGGACTAGCAGGGACCACAGGTGCACACCATCACGCCCACTAAATTTTTGTGTTTTTTCATAGAGATGGGGTCTTGTTGTGTTGCCCAGGCTGGTGCAAAATGCTTCATTACTATTATTATTATTATTTGAGACAGGGTCTCACTCTGTCACTCAGGCTGGAGTGTAGTGGCTCAAGCACAGCCTTCACCTCTCAGGCTTAAACAATCCTCCCACCTCAGCCTCCTCAGTAGTTGAGACCACAAATGTGTACCACCATACCCAGCTCATTCTTTTTTGGTGTGTGTAGAGACGGGGTCTCACTTTGTTGTCCAGGCTGGCCTCAAACTCCTAGGCTCAAGCAATCTTCCTACCTCAGCCTCCCAAAGTGCTGGGATTACAAGAAGGAGCCACGGTACCCAGTGAAGGCACATCTTAATGAAATTATTCAGCCAGGAAGGGGAGGGGAGAGATGGGGGGAAGGTAAAGAGAGGGAAAAAAAAAAAAAAAGAATATAAATGTATTTATTACCACTGAACTGTACACTTAAAAATAGTAAAGATGGCTCGTGCTTATAAGCCCAGCTACTCAGAAGACGCAGGAGGATTGCTTGAGGCCGGGAGTTTAAGGTCAGCCTGGACAACATAGTGAAACCTCATCTCTTAATTTTAAAAAAAAGGGGGGAGGGGGCAGGCATGGTGGCTCATGCCTATAATCCCAGCACTTTGGGAGGCCAAGATCCACTTTGGAGGATCACCTGAGCTCAGGAGTTCAAGACCAGCCAGGCCAACATGGTGAAAACCCATCTCTACTAAAAATACAAAAATTAGCCAGCTGTGGTGGCAGGCACCTGTAGTCCCAGCTATATAGGAGGCTGAGGCAGGAGAATCGCTTGAAACTGGGAGGCAGAAGTTGCAGTGAGCCGAGATCACACCACTGCACTCCAGCCTGGGCGACAGAGTGAGATTCTGTCTCAAATAAATAAATAAATAAATAAAATAAACCAAGCTGGGTGCAGTGGCTCAAGCCTGCAATCCCAGCACTTTAGGAGGCTGAGGCAGGCAGATCCCTTGATTCCAAGAATTCAAGACCAGCCTGGGAAACATGGTGAAACCCTATCTCTATTAAAAATACAAAAAATTAGCCAGGTGTGGTAGTGTGCATCTGTAGTCCCAGCTACTCAGCAGGCTGAGGTGGGAGAATCATCTGAGCCCAGAAGGAAAAGTGGGCAGAGGTTGTGCCGGTGCACTCCAGCCTGGGCAATGAGAGTTAGACCCTGTTTCAAAAAACTGTTCAAAGACAACAATTTTGTTTTAAACTAGAAAGCTTCAGAAAAGTGGCATATTACATTACAGAAAATAATTTAAATGACCATGGGTTTCTCAACAGAAACCAAGTAGACCAGAACACAGTACCGTAACTTTAAAATAAGCCAATGTAATGGTTCACATTTGTAATCCAAGCACTTTGGGAGGCCAAGGGAGGGGGACTGTTTGAGCCCACAAGTTCAAGAACAGCTTGGGCAACATAGCAAGACCCTGTCTCTACAAAAAGTAATTTTTTTTTTTTTG